AGACGTAGCCAGTAGTAGCCTAGGTCACGGTACATATTCACAAATGACCTCTCTGTCAGGACAAGGCACTGCATAAAGAAGCTAGCACGTCTCCTCTTCTTCGCCATCACTCGAAGTTGCTACAATACATTAATTCAACATTTGCATTTTTAAGGTTTAACATATTGAAGAATGTAAAAGGAGTTGCTCAAACTTTCATATACTATCGCTTCTAGCTTGTTCAGGAGAGCTTACTTGTCCATTTATCTGTGCTACTACACTCAGGGTCAGGTTATATATATCAGATGATGTGTAAGAATCGACAAGCTTATCGATCGCCTCCCTTGTGGTGGTCTTTCCTTCAGCAGCTGACTCAATGTCCTACACATGGTTTCGATGTTTACCGAAATTATAAGCTTGACACCCCATATACTATAGAGGAGTGCTGCATAACTTAGAAAAGGGCTGTTATACACTTACCTCATCGAAATCTGTGTTTATCATTCTTATATAGTGATCGGCTGGATTTTGTAGACCAGGGCAAGAGAAACCATTCCTTGTAAAAAACTAAATTGACAACAAAAATTAGTCATCCGCAATAACTATTTTCTCTCAGATCAAAGCAACCAAAAACCAAAGTCCAACACTAATCATACTCACCTGACTTGCTGCAAAGGAAGGCCCAAAGTATATGGTCCTACCTAAGGAAAGGAGACAAAGGTTGTCAAGTAGGTTGCAGACTTCTGTACTAGGCTGATGCATTGATGCTATTACTGTCATCCCATATTCCTTGGCAAGTTCAACAATTCGATTCATGACATAGTATGAAGCAGCACTATCGAGTCCACTTGTCGGCTCATCCAGGAAAAGAAGCTTCGGTCGCGTCAACATTTCAATGCAAATGCTTACTCTCCTTTTCTGTCCACCGCTGAGACCTTTGCTTCCCCAGCCTCCAATTCTGGTGTCAATACAACTCTGCAATCCCATTTCCCTGATCGTCCTGTCTGCTCTGTCTATTTTCTCTGCCTTTGACATAGTGTTAGGCAGTTGGAGCTGAGCGGAGTAGTATACAGCTTCTCTTGTGGTTAAAGTCCATGTCAGGATATTGTCTTGAGTCACATAAGCCTGAAAAAAGAAAAAGATTATACAGGGCTATACATTTAGAGATCCTTTTTCTTTAATACAGAAAAAGTATCATTTGGTAAGACTCGTACATATAGAACTTTCAAGAAATCTGTTACTAAATTTCTTTGTATTTTGATTATAATCACGCCTTCCAAAATCTGGAATGATTCATAAAAACCTCGGGGGGCAAAGTCTAATTTTTTAAGGATATACATGAAAATATTTAATATTGAAAACGGATGTACAAGTATTTCCAAAAATCTTGGGGGGTCAAAGTCTAATTTGTACAAAGACAAAAGCGAAAACTTTAATAAACTTTTAAGGAAATACAAAAAGATTTGTAAAATTTTTGAGGGTGGCTCCCCTTTCCCCCTCCCATAAATGCCATAATTAAATGAAGTATAATTATTTTACTTTTTTTGTTTGGATTCAAATTCCAAGTTATTATCGATAATTTTCTATCTTAAGAGTGCCCGAAGATACAATTCAGATGTTGATGGAGCTATAAATGCAAGATAGAGTAGTAATCAATAATATTATTTTGTGTTTTGCATAACTTATATGGTAGGTGGATGCGATTTAATTGTAGTAACAAGTGTCTAGAAAAATCCCACATAAAAATACATCATGATGTTTAAGACAATCAAATCAGCCAATCTGACAGGAAAGAATTTCAGACTTCGGCACGTATAAATCTGGTAAACGGTGTGCGTTTGTTTGTTAGTCAGAATGTATTGCCTCATGCATCATTACTATAAGCATGGTGAAAGCGTGGTGCATCATTACTATATATTGCCTCATGCTGAAAGCGTGGTGAAGAAGAAGTATTAAATTGGTCATACCGACGTTCCATAAGCTAGCTGTTGCATTCGGCCGTTAACTAAAATTTCCCCCCTTTGCTTTGATATTGAATCAAGCCTTCCTGAAACAAGCATACCACCATACAGAGTTGGAAAGAACTTTAGTCTGGGTTTCATGCCACAAAATCCCCTGCCATATTTGTTATTTAAGGCCTAAGAAAAGGACAATCTAATTGGGTTTTGGCCAAGCCATTAGTATTTCCATCTAGATTACGAGGACCAAGTTTTGATGCCTTGCAGACTGAGGTTTTAAAAAGCCTGAAGTAGTTGGTATAAATGTAAGTTCTTTCAAAGCAAGTAGATGTTGGATGTCTCCCTGCATACCAATTTTTCTAGCCTAGAGGGAGTAATTGTTTTGAGATATATAACAAGGAAACATGTGAATTCTGGCACGTAAAAGATTGAGCAAAAGACTCGTAGCACCTGCTAGAGCATCAAGCAGCGTGGACTTGCCACAGCCAGAAGGACCCATAATGGCTAAAAGTTCACCTGGACGTGCATAGCCCGTGAGCCCTTGAAGGATCGCTTTACACCCCTTCTTACCATTAGGAACACTAACCCACAAGTCGTCCCACGTTAAAAACACGCCTTTGCTGTTTGAGTTAGATTTACAGTAATCTGGACCAGCATTTTCCTTTCCATCTTCATGATCTCCATCCACCTCTAATGGAATCTTGATTTCTGAAACAGTAGTATGTGGCGAATTCATCAGCACATCAGCACAGTCGTCGTTGCTAAGACGAGATGGGGAGGCGAGATTTGGACAAGCCATGCTGAAGTAGTTTCGGGACTAGGGGAGCTAGCTAGGAATATTGGAGTTTTGAGGATACAATATATATATATATGTATATATAGTAAGACTACCAATGCCATTTACTCCATCCGTCCCACTTTGATAGTCCTGTTTTCCTTTTTCGTCTGTCCCAAATTATAGTTCACTTTCCAATCGAAGAATGTAGTTGTATTTTAATTTTTCTAAAATACCTTTATTCAATGTAAGTTGTTGTTACTATAAACCTACCCCATTTAATGAGAGTTTATTCCTTTTTTACCATCAATTCAAGCTCCCATAAAGTTGCACTCTAATTAATGTGAGGGTATTTTAGGAAAATAACTAGCTAAATTAATTGTTCCAACAAAGTTAACTACTTTTTCTTAAACTGTGTGAAAAAAGAATCAGGACTATTAAAGTGGGACGGACGGAGGGAGTATAATTTTAGTGGAGTAGAGAAGGAGTTGATCGGTGCGAGTAGTTTCAATGATTTATTAGTAGATGGATTTAATCATGGTGGGCTGGATTGTATGGGTGATTGTGATTTCTGAAGCCGAACACAAGGAGTCCTTGTTAATGCATTAAAGCAGGGTCTTGAAATCTCAAGATGATCATGTAAATCATTAAATTGCATGCTTTCTGCTTGAAGGCAACTCAAGATCATCTTTTTATTGCAATCAAGTTGCTGGCTACCAACGCTAAAAGGATACTTTTTACATTGCATAACTACGTACGTACTGTTTGAAGATAAACCCGTTGTATTGAATTTACATTTGATTGAGATTGTACTTTTGGCATGAGCACTTAATGGTTAGATAAAACTCACCAGAAAGATGTATCCAGCAGGAGATGTGGTCAAATCTCGGCCATGAATAGTTTCAAATGATTACCTAAGATACAAATAGTGGGTGCATGCGTGATTATTCAAATTAGAGGGGCACTGGCCGCAGTTATCAGAAATCTTAAAGGGAGGCTTCTGAAATGAAATTAACCCATCAAAGAGTTGTCTTCTTCGTCGTCTCGTACTTGAGGACTTTTGAGGTTACGCACTCTCCGCGTCGGCCTTTGTTATTCCGTTCTGCGACAACTTCAGCATCAAATTAATTGAAACCTCGAAAGGCTCATTCCTCAAGTATCGGTCTTGCAAAATAGTTGTATCTATTCTTCACACGCATCCATCATGTGGGCACCCTAAGTAGTTAGCAGTTATTAGTAGCTGTGTTCTGAGTTTGATTGCATTTTTTGCCGGTGCCATGTTGTCATCGCAGTACTAGCTAGCGCGCTACTCTGCATGGATGGCTTCCTGTAGCCCATCCATTTAGCTGTCATCTTGGCACCCAATCAGCTTGTGCGCGTTCTTCGGATCAATGGAATATCAACTAGTGTGTCTGATGTTCTGATTTTTTTTCTTCCACAGACAAGGCAAGGAAAATGTATGAATCATGATTATTGGTGTATACACAAGGATATTAATGAAAAGCTTTTAATGCTCAGCAACTTAGAGCTAACTGAAAATGGGAAGATGTTTAATTGCTGTTTGCCTTATTGGGCGTCCAGTGATTCATTTTCTCACTGAAGTGACCTCTAAACAACGATCTTGGGACAACCCTCCACCAGAATTAACAAGTTAGATTAGACAGCAGTCCAAGCAACTAGGCAACTCACCAGATTTAGCATCACTTCTAAGGTTCCGGTTGATAAAATTGAATCTGAATTCAAAAGTTTGAATTCTGAAATAATTAATTTGCTGAATTTTAAGCACCAAAAAGAAATATATGAAAGTCTTAATTTCAATACCAAACCGATTTATACTATTTGATAAATATTTATAACTGAATGTTTGATAAATTTAATTTGACAATTTTGCCCTTATATCTTTTCATTCAAAAAGAATTAGAACCTATGATTTACTTAACTTAAAATTGTTAGGTATGAAAATGACAATATTTATTTTTTAAATCAAATTAGTATAAAAGATGAAAGATAGTGTATGAGGAGTATGGAGAAGATGTGAAAGTCATTAAAAAGGGAGAAAAGAAAAACAAAAAATCGTTAGATAGAGAATATCAAGTTGTTTAATTAGATAACAATTTTGAATATAATTAACAAACAAGGGTAGATTTGATAGATAAGATAAGATAGTTGAAGTAATTCTATTGATTATTATCAGAATTAAGCATGCAGTTAGGATTCTTGTGCTGAAAAAAATACACACAAGTTCAGCAGATGGATTTTTATTTATCAAACACTCGGAACATCTGAATATTTGAAAAGGTTCAGTTTCAACCGTTTTTTATGTTATCTAGCAGACCATAAATCAAGTTAGATGCTTTTTCGTCAATCTCTGGGGATACTAAAGACACCAGAGGTGATGGAATCTCAATCAGTTACTTTTGCACTGCTTAGAAACTGTCATTGCCGTCTACTCGTGTCATTCTACCCTACTTGTTGGTGGGAGTTTGGAATTTACAAACTGCTGCTTCGCGCTAACATAACCAACCAACGAACCCCATTATAGTGCTAGCCTGACAAGTTAAAACTTTTCTGCAATCTTGATAGCCCCAAAGAGTAAGAGTCTGTACAATATCACCATTCCAAATAAGATTTCCAGATCAATCCACTTGGAGTAACCCATCTCCACCTGCCAGATATCCCTCAAAATAGTTTCACCATCTACCAGATTAGAAGATCCTCCGGCCAACAGATTTTTGGGAAATGCTAGCCCTTGGAATTCATTCTTGTATAGTCCTTGATATGCATACTTATGAAAGGCAATGTAGTACATCGGATATTTCCAAAAAATCTTTGGTAAATCACTTGGAAGTCGAAAGAAACCGCCGCTTAACATCATTAAACCTTGAAGTCCAGCACCGGTGATGAGTCCCATGAGGAAATTTGGCACTATGGTCGCCACAATCATCACAAGGGTCTCAACCAACATAAGACATGCAATGAGTACCATTATGAAGTACAAAAACCTGTCACTTCCCTGCTGAAGTCCAACAAGGTAATAAGAAATTGCTCCAGGAATCATAGATATTAGGAGCAAGAAAGGAAGTGAAGAAACTGTATTGCTGACAACAAATGCTGCAACACCGTAATGCCCATTTAATCTTTCACGCTTGAAGACCTACACATGTTAATTAGGCAAAACATATCCAACAGATTGTTCCGGGAGATCATAAAGTTGATAATAAAATGAATGGTCTAACCTTTATGTCCTCCACAACTGATGGGAACCCTCCAATAGCCATGATGGTTAATAACGATGCTACAAACATAAGCATAGAACCTCTGGCCTAAACAAAAATGGGAAACGTGAATATCTGAGAACATTAAAAATTCATGGCGTGAAACTCCTACCTAGTCAATAGAAACATTGATGATTGAACTTACATTGATGGAGCTGTAACTGTTTCCAACATTATGGAACACGGTACCCAACCCAAAACCTAATGCAATGTTTATACCAAGGCGCAACCAGTAGTACCCTACATCACGGTACATATTCAGAAATGACCTTTCAATGAGGACGAGGCAGTGTATAAAGAAGCTTGCGGGGCTCCCCTTCTTCTCCATCGTACCAGTGCTCTGCACCTCATAAATGAGAAATTTAGCATGTCAAAGAATATTCAATTGTTAATAAACATCGCGCAAGCTTTTCTTTTGCTTCAGGTCTTCCATCAGTTCAAGTGGCTTACTTGTTTATCCATCTCTGCCGCTTGTCTCAGGATATCTTTATAGGCATCAGACGATCTATAAGATTCTGCCAGCATATCAATTACTTCCCTTGTGGTTGTCTTTCCTCCAGCACCGTATTGAATGTCCTAAAATGGTTTCACATTATATTCAATTACCAGATACCTAAATGACAACGTACAAGGGGAAGTGGGAAAGGGGAGTCAACCCAACCTCCGGCCTGGAACAGCTTTAAGCTCTATGCAGTGGCTAAGGGTGAAGTTAACTGGCTAAGTACCTCACTGAAATCACTGTTGACCATCCTCAGATAATGATCTGCTGGATTCTGGAGAGCAGGACATGGAAAGCCATTCCCTGCAAAAAACTGAAGCAGGCAAAAATCAGTCAACTCAAACGGATTTCACATCTCAACTTCAGAAAGCAAAGTCAGCTAAGATACTGGGGCACTGAGCCAGTTTAACAATTCTAGGATATTGTACTCACCTGATTTGCAGCATAGGCAGGTCCAAAGTATATTGTCCTACCCAAACAGAGGAGGCAAAGATTGTCAAGGAGCTTGAAGGCTTCACTGCTAGGTTGATGCAAAGATGCTACCACAGTCATCCCATAATGCCGAGCCAGTCTAACAATTCTATTTACAATACAGTATGCAGCAGCACTGTCGAGTCCACTTGTTGGCTCATCAAGGAAGAGAAGCTTGGGTCGCGTCAAAATTTCCATGCAAATGCTCACTCTCCTCTTTTGCCCGTTACTGAGGCCTTTAATGCCCCAGCCTCCAATTCTAGTATCAAAGCAAGGAAGCAATCCCATTTCCCTTATCGTTCTCTCTGCTCTCTCTTTTTTCTCTGATCTCGACATTGCATTTGGCAGTTGGAGGTTAGCAGAATAGTAGACAGCTTCTCTAACGGTCAATGTCCATGTTAGGATGTCATTATCAGTCACGTAGGCCTAAAAGAAGCACAAGGTAATGAATTACAGATTTTATAGTACTTTTAGCTATAAGTGATTTTTATGGCCAATTGAAAACTTGAGGAGCCCCAATTTTATTAATTACATTATATTTGCGCCCTCGAACTCAGGTTTCTAGCAAGGAAGGGGGGAAAACATCCCATCAGGATTAAGTAATGAGAATGGCAAGAAAGAGCTCCTGTGATCCCAGAGGTATAGAAGGTTTCCCCTTTCTACCAATCAAGTAGAAGGAACAGGGTTCATCTCCATTCATGTAGTCAATCATGATGTGAATCTGACTTTCTTCTGCCATCAACAGAAGTGATAAAATGGTCTCTGGGAACAATTTATTTATCTGATTTCAGTATGTTTTGGCTCTTGCATAGATGTCAATGATTATCACCCAAATCCGCGTGCGCAGCTGCTCTTAATTTTCATCTCCATAGACCAAGAATTTAACTTTAGTGGCTAAAAGTGATAGCAAAAGTTAGAACTAGAGTGGTTTTGTAATTGGCATTGTAAGATAACAGCGGAGAAGAGCAAATACCGATGTCCCATATGCAAGCTCTTGTTGTCGGCCATTAATCAGAATTTCGCCACACCGCTTCATCTTTGTGCCTAGCCTCCCTGAAAGAGTTGACAGTTTCTGCTAGTAAATTCCAAAATTTCTACTGAAACACTTGAAAAGGGACATTAATGGGACAGAATTTTGTGGAAACCAGGATTTGGACTTGTTATGCGAAGTACAGAGAGGAAATTAACAGCTGCATTTTGGGGTGGCACGAAATCAAGATTACACATCCAGAAACCTATGTAAATGAACAACACATTGGAAGTTTAGAACATAAAAGGAAAAACCTCGAATGGGAAAACACTACATCAACAGATTGGCCATGATTATTCAAGTTTCCATATTGCGCCAATGGAGAAAATTACAAAAGATTCAGTCCGGTTGCTAAGTTTTCTAATGGACAGTGCTGTTAAAAAATTAACAGGCTTTTTAATAGGAGCTGACGTTCAAGTACAAGTATAAAGAAAATAAAATAAAAAGTTTTAAGTTGTTGTTTTACCAGACAATGCATCCAGAAGAGTTGATTTGCCGCATCCAGAAGAGTTGATTTGCCACAACCAGAAGGACCCATGATCGCTAGGAGCTGACCGGGAGTTGCATAACCATTAAGTCCTTGCAGAAAGGATTTGGTGCCTTCTTTTACATTGGAAACTGTCACCCAAACGTCCTTCCACGTCAAGTATACTCCTCTCCCATGAAAACCATATTGTGCTCCTCCTGCAACAAAATCAACTGTTTCAACATCAAGCGCATCCTTTTCACATTGTTCAAGGTCGGGCAGGTGTGCACGCGAATCCTTGCAAATTGGATAAGCCATGAAGAATCAAAATTGTGGTTGAAAATGTCAGAATTGTGATACACTGCAAAAGGGATGCTGGCATTTAAAGCTAGCTAGTATATTACTACTATGTTAGCTAAGTTAAGCCTCGGGGGAAATGAACAAACAACTTCATGTATTGTATGGACGGCGCTTTTCCCCCGTGGTTCCCGTCCCAGGAGACAGGGCAGAGACGCAAGATTTGTCTGTGGAGAATGGATGCTAGCGTAGTTCAGAGGGTCCAAAAGCCACGAGACATTATTCTTGTCAGAGTGTCAAACAAAATCCAGTTGCTACGATTGATATATTCAACTTTGTGGCGTTGTTCGAGGAACACGGGCTTGGGACAAGCGGCTGGCGATGCTGCCCTTGACAGATCAAGAAATTGTCAAGGGATGTTACAGATTTGTGAGAGGAGTTTAGCTATTTAGACCATTAAACAGATTGGTCAGTGTCCGAATTTCCACTCTAGTGTAACTCTATACTCCCTCGTATCCTTGGGAATGCTTTTATAGCTTTTTTTTTTTTCTTTTCTTTCTGGGTAATAAAAGGAGAATAGCATTAATAAAAGTAGACTTCAGTTTACATACTGCAAAAAAACATTGCAGAGGAATCGAACGCGGGAAACAGACTCCACGTTGCTCCTCATCAAAAAACTGAAGCCAATTCAGGTGGACAGACATAAAAAATAACAAAAGTGCTGTCCACATTGTATCCAATCCTAGTTAGCGCATCAGCACATCTATTGGCTTCACGATAAACATGGGAGAGTCTTAAGTTGCTGGAGCTGCCATAGGAGGAATCTGCCATCCGACAATATGGGACTAACATAATGATCAGTGTTACTGTTATCATTCGAATGAATCAAAGGAAATTATATCAGAACAGTCAGACTTCCACCTCCAAATGAGCTATGTTCGCAGAGTTTGCAATCTCTAAATCATTTCTTATACCCCAGAGCTCTGCTGACATGCTGGCTTTATAGCTTATGGATGTGGAACAGTTCCCCCCGCCCCCCACGCTTCTCTTTTCTATTTATGCCCGCGATACTAAGCCCAGTTGTAGGTCATCCCATTCTACATGCAATACGAGTTGATTTTTTTTTTTTTTCTTTTAATCGAATGAATCTGGCATGAACAGCTTAAGTTGGGTTCTAACCATAGAATGGAAAAGGTAAATAAAATAATTGGGGAAAATTTAATAAAAAGGAGCTAGGAAGAATTGAAATTCACAAGGGTGAAAATTTTTAGAAATTTATAGATCGTGCAAGTATTATCATTCATAAATGGTAAAAGAATTTGTTTTGTAGACAAAATTATCAAATGACGATTAGGTGTACATTCTGATTCTTATATATGCACACATGTTATATAGAGTCGAGCACTATCAAATATATGAGTGCACATTCTGATTCTTGTATATGCACATGTGTTATACATATATATATATTATTTAAGTATATATATAAGTGCAAATATCTTGATTTCAATTTGCACATTCAGATGTATTTACCAATGTTTGCCTTTCATTCGTTAAGGTGCACATTTCGAATTAATAAAGTGCACAACGTTATAAGGATAATTTAATCATTTAAAAATATATTCATCATCTCTTTTTTAAATACATAAAATTTAACTGATGCCCATGCACAATTTTCCTAAAAAAAATTAGACCCTGCATATGAACTTCAATTCTTCCCATCTTCTTTTCCAAATTTTCCCGAGAAGTCATTCTAATTACTTTCCTTCTGCAAAATTCCTATGATGTTAGGCAAATGTTCGTTGATAATAACCCAAGATAATCTTAACCTCGAGGCAATTTTTGATGGACAGTAGCTTTAAATGGTAACTTTTTCAGCACCCAGTTGTACGGAATGTTCGTACAACAGGAATGTTGGTCCACACGATCCATCCTCAGTAAACTGCCGTAAAGCTTATGAAGCGGGTCTTTTATTTACATGCCAACATGGCTACACATTATTGGTTTGGCTAGATTTGCGCCACTCTCCAGTATGGATAACGTCTTGTTCCCTCTCTGGGGTAAATTTCCCACTTCCAACTTCCTATATCCTAGTCCTGCTGTTTATCTTGCTTCTTCTATTGCTGTTCATGGAATAATGGGTATTACCTCTAATTCTCTAAGCCTTTACTTCTTTTCCTCTGGCAATTTCAACTGTGAGCGCCGACTGTGCCTTCTTGTTTCATGGTCTTCTTTTTGGGTGCTTCTTGTCTGTTTCTCAAGGTGGACGGTGCTGTTCTAAGTTTTTTTTTCTAAGTTTTTTGTTGTTGTTTTAGTAGTTTTAATGCATTCTCTTTGCTGGTAAATGTTTATCCTTCTTAATTTTGATTACCTGACTTAACCCCAAGATTGCTGAAAAATATGCATCTTTGTTGCAGTAGGATTGGCTATGGCAGCTACATTCTGTTACCCGAACCGCGCTTTTGGCCTCAACAAACTCAACAATCACTTTCTTTACAGAGACAACAGTACAAGGCAAGTCCACTTATATTTCTTTGTTCACCCTTTTCAAATGTAATTTCTCATATATTTTGTGCTACAACATGTTCATATGATGCAAAATTTGAAATAAAAAAGACTTCTTTCAGGTTGTTAAGCTCACTGCTAGCTTGGACATTGTCACCTAAATTTTGGCAACCACCAACAGAGAAAAAAAAAAAAAAGTGGGTTGTGTTGGGGGGGGGGGGGGGAGTTTAGAGAGAGAGGTTGTAACACCAACACCCCAAATTGTTCGATCAATGTTGCTTAGTGTTTTTGTTTATGGCACTTGCTAACTTTTACTAAAGCTTTTTGAGCAAGATGCTTAGAGAATGATAATAAAACACCTAACTTGGTTTCCTACCTAATCTTCTAGTTGATCTCAGCTGTTCTTTCTTTCAATTTTTAAAGGAAACGAAATATCAGATACAGAGAGTGATTCAACTGAAGGACAAGCACAATGATAGTTACACATTACTCTAGGCTACACCTACAAACTACTATGATGAAGGTTATATTGTCAAGGAAGTATTGGCTTCCTGTCTTTCTTAGCTTTAGTAACCTGCTCAAATCAGATTCAGGTTTATTGTCATTGCTAAAGAGGTAGTGCAGGATTTATCTATTACTCTGGGTGAGAAGAGGGCTACTAGCTTTATGGCCAGTCAAGGAGTCAATTAGAGTCAGCAGAAGGCACAAGATGGAAAACATTCCTCATTTATATACCATCTTAAACAAAATTTATTGCAGATTCTGTCCAGTGCCTTCCTTGTCTGGAAACATAAGAAGGCCCTGGTTCTGCAAGTGCCCTAAAACATGTCACCAGCCCAGCATAATGCAACTTGCAGTAAAGCAGCAAAGGCAACAATGGAAAACCTTTTTCCAGAGTACGTCTGATACTATCATTGAAGAGGAAAAAGATGACACTCCTAGAGCAACCATAATATGGAGGGCGATCAAGTTACCAATTTATTCTGTTGCCTTGATTCCACTAGCTGTAAGTATCATTGCATGGCAGTTATAACTTTTGTTTCCTTAGCTTTTATCTGACTTTTAATGATAGGATTATTTTCTTTAACTTCTTTTAGGCACATAGCACTATTAACTGCTCTCTCAACTTCGGCCTGGGAATTCAAAAACGTGCTGTTTTGGACTTAATAGTAGTTCTAGTGCGAGAGAGTGAGCTCTCCTGTTGAAATGATTAATTTTCCGCATATTTGTTAGTGTAGGATTATTTGGAACATTCAGTCAGTCAACAACAAACGTCTATTGTATAACACTTAATTACTAGCTTCTTTATAATATGCTGCTATTACTGCAAATAGGTAGCAAGTGCAGCTGCATATTTGCAGACAGGCCTGTTTTCTTCTGGGCGTTTTGTTGTTCTCTTGGCCTCGTCAGCTCTTATCATCACTTGGCTCAACTTAAGGTTAGATGCTTAATCTTTTAGGATTCAGATTGGTATCTCTTCCATTCTAATAAATGTCAATAAATTTATTGTACAAATATTGATCAAAAGATGAAAAGGGAAAAAAAAGTTTTGGAGTTAATTGCTGTAATATGTCAGACTAGAAAAGGAAAAATCAACTCCATTTAGTTAATAGGAAGCATCCCCTCAGGGGTTGGAAGTTGTTGCAGCTAAGGATTTTTGAACATAGAAATGAGGTTCTCTAGTTTTGTAATCTCTGTTCCTTGATCAAAGAATAGAGTGAGGTTGTCAAGTTCATTAAAGTTTTCTCCATCCTTCTTATCTGTTACTTTATCTCTCTTTCCTGTCATTTGGTTGATATGCTCTTTGTTAGCATATCACCAGTTGATCTATTTAATTTGGATATCAGCTGACAGCTTTTCACCCCTTCATTTATATATGTGTAATATGGGCAGCAACGACGTTTATGACTTTGATACAGGGGCAGATAAGAACAAGAAAGAGTCAGTTGTCAATATCCTGGGCAGGTAAGATTTCATGTTTAGTGTTTTATTCTCGTTACCCCAGTGACTTAGCTACTTTTTTCTTTTCAATTGAGTCAACTTAACAAAGTACAATTAACTATTTAAATACTCTTCTAACATCGGAGGCACGTTAGAGTTTGTCTTCTACATTCCTCTAAACAGTTTTGTTCTAAATTGGCTAATTGGAACTGTATTATTTGATGGAAGCCGTACAGGGACCCTTGTTGCTGCAGTTTTATCACTCATTCTGGGTTTTATGGGGCTTATTTGGGCATCCTTGGAGGCAGGAAATGTGCGCTCAATATTATTACTGGCATCTGCAATCACTTGTGGGTACATATACCAGGTGGTACAATTTGCACGAAATTAGATAATCCCAAAGCACATGCATATCCCTTGCTGCACCAGTTAAACTAGCATCAAATTAAACAATTCATATTGGAATAAACATAGGTGGATCAAGATGGAGTAGGCTTGTGAAAAGCAAATATGGAAGCTATTGTGCCTGTAAACTGTTTCTACAGGAGCACTACAGATTACAATGGGTCTTCTTGGCTTTATCTTGCTTTTTATGTGATGCATGTGCTTTCATGTTCTCATACCTGCACCCACTTCATCCATGTACAATTCTTGGTCTCTTTACCATCTTATAGTACCTCCGGAGCACCCTAATCAGGAGAGCTGCAAACCTTAAGTTGATACTGCATGATGTTATAATTCATACCCCTTCATGTTCATCTCAGGTTCCCCAGCCTCTCTCACCATATTCTTAGTGAGGGACATCTACTAAACAAATTCTAAGCAATAAATCTTGGAGCAATTCTCTTTCTTATAGCCTGTCAACTGTTCTGTGCATGGGAAAGTCCAAAAACTCACGTCCTTCCAAAAACTTTTGTTGCAGTGCCCTCCATTTCGGCTAAGCTACTAGGGACTTGGAGAACCCTTATGCTTTGCAGCATTTGGCCCATTTGCTACAGCTGCCTTTTATTTGCTTCAGAGCAGGACATGGTAGTTACTTGTATAGTTTACCTGCAATTACTACATGGAAATTCTTTTGCTTATGCAGTTCATTCTGTATAATGATAGTGAGCTACCAATTACCGGCACTGTCCTTTCTGCATCAATTCTTGTTGGTTTAACAACAAGTCTGATCCTCTTCTGTAGTCACTTTCATCAGGTAGTCTCCCTCCCTCTCCTCCCTCCTCTCCCTCCTTCCCTTCCTCTCCATGTACTTTTACTACTAACCTTATGATGAATAATCCAGGTAAAGGATGATATGGCAGTTGGAAAAATGTCCCCTTTGGTTAGTGCACTGATAATGATGATTAAAATTTCATTGAAAAGAAAAAGCTGAAGGATCAATTAATCATGCACATCTCACTATGTTATTCCAGGTTAGACTGGGGACCAGAGCGGGCTCTGATGTGGTGAAAATTGCTGTGGTGGTTCTCTATTCATCTTTGCTTGTTCTTGGTCTTTTTGGCGGACTTCCAATCACATGCATTGTGAGTTTTAAAGCGTGTTTTAACTCCTTTTATTATTAGCTTGTAGGCTTGGACAAAGCCAAAATTGTTGCTAACAGATCACCTCATGAAGTGGAGAAGCTTACTTTGGAGGGCCATTGACAATAACATTAGTCAAATTTTGTTTTAGTGCGCTGCAATTTTGTCTTCACATTGTTGCTTAAAAGATTTTCCTCATATCAATTTTCAAATTTGGTTGCCCTTTTGTTTCAGATTCTTTGTGGACTAACAGTCCCAATTGGGAGATTGGTAATTAGATATGTGGCAGAAAATCACCAGGTGAGTGATTGATTTAAGTCTTAAAATTGGAAAAAATATATGTGAGATAGCCACACATGAACTGAATTTGTTGAGTGATAACCTATGGAGGGTTCAATACGTCAGTTTAAGTGAACTGCACTGACATGTACTTCTAGGTAGGATCTCCAAATTTTACTGCATAAGCAATGATGGACATGGTGTGGCAGCTATGGCAGCTGCCAAGCCAACCCTTACCTTTGCAGTTGATGGATGCCGCATTTTGTTTCCTTAAAAAATGAAAAAGAATTCATTTTTGTGAACCCTCTCCCAACATAGAACCACAGAACCATTTTCTTTCCCTATGATAATATTGGCCCTTCGTTTACTGTCCTTTCTATAATTTCTTGGATATGCTTCTGAAGTTTGATCTAATTCACAACTTTATAGGACAACACAAAAATTTTCATGGCAAAATATTACTGTGTGAGGTTGCATACTGTATTTGGCACTGCTTTAGCCGCTGGACTTGTGGCAGCTAGAATGGTTGCTGGGAGTGGTATCTAATCTTAAAGCGCATTCTGCCTTCGTGTTTTTCACTATTTATCAGGTGAGAATGTGGATTCGAGTCTTGCATAAATGAAATTATCTGGAAATCGTAATTATACCTTTGACTTTGTCTTCTTGTCGTGTCAGAGGGAGAGTCTCGAACAATTTAAAGTCGTCCTTCAGGATGGCTTTTTCCCATAATGGCAGCCCCAAGAACGTACTTCTGCTTTACATTTATGGGAGTTGAAGGCTAAAGATTACACTTCCCATCAATGTGGCCGTCACACTTCTATTTCATTAATCTCCTCTGGCCTTACCAGCTGCACCAAACAGGAGATTAAGTTGAAGACTTCCCTGTGAAATCAACCATGATAATGGTACTGTAGCGGAAAGCTTTTTGTCTCGTGGCAAAGTGCTGAAATGGTGGATCAAAGATCTAAGAGTTCAGCTGTTGCAGCTTTTTTGCTTGATTAGAGTTCTAGCTCTCTGCCATTGGCACAAGAATGGCAACTTAAAAGGCGTATCATGGGAGGGGACTGAACCACCTATCGACTCAGATGAATATATTATGCACTCATGTGAAAGCCATCCCACCTATCGACAGATGAATATATTATGCACTCGTGTGGAAGCCACTTAAATGGCTTGCCACATTTTGTAGCCAATGGTGGGAGGCGATAACACTGAGCTTATAAGGATGCAAATATTGTCGATGTCTTAAAATGTCAGAAGAAAGTGCTTCTATTTTGGGTGGTCGCAATTTGCAATTTGCAATTTGCGTCCTTCATCATGGATGACGTGATTAACGTCCCACAAAAACTTATATATAAACCTGGCACTGCCAAAAGTGGTTGCAATATTCGTTTGCTGACTGACCTGTGACCAGCCCACCAGTCCACCTAACGTATCCCAGCGTATCCCCATTTCTCATCTTCCCCAATTGTTCTGCTGGTGGGGCAGCCCCAAAACTGAGCTGTGAAGTGAAGGGGCCAGCAAAACCAATCCCCTCCCTCCACCCCAATTTCCTAAATAATATAATTACGACCCTTCACATTTCCACCTACAAGATTCTAAGAAAGTTAAAATCTCGATTTTATTTTCCAAGTTTGAATGGCAGTTCTCACTTCAATCAGGAAGTCCTTAGGCTTTATCACCAAAAGGGAATCCTTTTCCAAGATCCTTTTGGGAACAGGGTGTTTGAGCAATGTTCCAGAGAACACAGTTTATGGAGGGCCAAAGCCGCAGGATCCAAACCAAAGAGTGACACTGACAAATTTACGCCAGAAGCATAAAAAGGGGGAGCCCATAACAATGGTGACAGCCTATGATTATCCGTCTGCACTGCATCTTGACACTGCTGGCATTGATATTTGCCTTGTGGGTGACTCTGCTTCCATGGTGGTTCATGGCCATGACACCACTTTGCCTATTACTCTTGAAGAAATGCTTGTTCATTGCCGTGCCGTGGCAAGAGGCGCCAAGAATCCACTCCTTGTTGGGGACCTACCTTTTGGTACTTATGAGTCCAGTACTCATCAGGTGATGTGCATGCTACTCCTTTTGTTGCCCGCAAAAATAGTACTTTCAGTTTTTACCTTTTTCTGGGTAGTTATGCATATTCTCAGTATTGTGATGTTACTATGAAAGCAACTTCAATCCCATTTGTTTTTTATTCTATTATTTGATGGAGGTTTGCATTTTAAAATTTGGTTTGGAGGAAATAGAGGGGTAAAAAAAGGGAAATTGGGAAGGCAGACTTTTGAACGGGAAAAAAATATGGAAGAATACGGATATACTGAGTCGTCTTACACCCGTCCCTGTCAACTGTTGGCTTTTTAAGTGAAACTGTTGCTGAGAGTCCTTGTTAGGGTTAATTATTTCATATTATTCTTTGCAAGGTTCTAGCAAATTCATATTATGCAGTTTCTGTCCGAATTAGACGAAATGTGGTTTCTATCTCTTTTGAATGTGTAATGGTTGGTGATATTGCAGTTTGAATTGTGAGCAGGCAGTTGATACAGCAGTTAGGATACTCAAGGAAGGAGGAATGGATGCAATTAAATTAGAAGCTGGAGCACCATCAAGAATTACTGCAGCTAAAGCTATTGTTGAAGCTGGGATTGCTGTTATGGGGCACGTTGGGCTTACTCCTCAGGCTATTAGCGTTCTGGGAGGATTTAGACCTCAAGGTCGAAATGTTGCTGGTGCTGTAAAGGTAATCTTTTCATAATCCTATCCTTAGCAGGGGATGCTCTCCCAGGGCTTTGTTTGGTTATTTTTGGAACTTTATCTAAAGAGTAATTATGTCTTTCTGCAGGTTGTGGAGACTGCCATAGCATTGCAGGAAGCAGGTTGTTTCGCTGTTGTTCTGGAATGTGTTCCTGCACCTGTAGCTGCTGCAGCAACATCAGCTCTTCAAATCCCCACTATTGGCATTGGTGCAGGTCCATTTTGTAGTGGTCAGGTTTGTTGCTTTTAAGTTCTGTTTCTTCATCCCAGGACTGACTGACAAATATTGTTAAACATATTCCAAAAATAAGTAAATGGTTCCATGAGGTTTTGGTCAGTTACTAAGTCAGTATTGACAATTTTCATTTTCCTTGATGCATTTTGTAAATTGGTTACATATTCTCTTCAAATTGACTGTTATTGGTTGAAATAGAGCTTAGGACAATTTTGATTGAGTAACAAGATAAGCAATATTCTAAACCTTGAAAGCTGTTTAATCAGTCTGACTTCCAATAGAACCTTAACAACTTTGAAGAGCGTCTGAAGAGAAAATGGTCACATTCAATGGTTTGATGAAGTGAATGAACTTTTCCTCCAACTGCTTGATGATTATTGTTTAGGTCAACTTTTTTGCCTGCCGTTTGCAGTGATGACAGTTAGTGACATATTGTTAAAAGAGGTGTGGACATCCTGGGGAAGTTCCTCTTTTTTGTTTTTCCTGAATATGTGTTTGGGTAAGATTTCTTTGGAAGATTGTTTGCTCGAGAAAAATGTTCTATGGATTCATTAGGAAATATCATCTATCCGCTTAGAGGATATATTGATTTCTTGGCAAACTTCAGAAATGTATCCTTTCGATGTAGTGAAAATTGAACAAAAGCCAATGCTTTGACTTCCTATGCTTGCATCCGCCAACTTTGCCTTAGTAGTTACTGGCAAAATATGAAAACCTTTCCCACCAAATGTTGATACTTATGATCTTTCTCATTGATTTGCAACGTTTTTCTATTGCACTGTAAATTTTGATGCTATTGGTTGACATTGGAACATGGCCAGCATCGCAAGTTCTCTTCATGTTTTGTTATCCTTAATGATCAAGTTCAGGGCCCTCCTATTTCTTTACTATGAGTCGTTAGGCTGAAATTACTGACTATTTTATTTCCCACCTTTTATCAATTCACATGGCCAGGTGCTAGTTTACCATGATCTCTTAGGGATGCTACGACACCCACATCATGCTAAGGTTTGGGATTTTATTTCGCTTTTCTGGATCTTCCACTTTTCTCAATCTCCTTTGCCTTCATAAAATACTGGATTTGACAACTCATTAGTGCTTGATACGCAATTATTGCAGGTCACTCCAAGGTTCTGCAAACAGTATGCACATGTCGGAGATGTCATCAATAAAGCTCTTTTGGGGTACAAGGAAGAAGTAACAAGCGGTTCTTTTCCAAGCTCTGCCCATAGTCCATATAAAATTTCTGCTGCTGACGTGGATAGCTTTTCAAAAGAGTTAGAGAAACTTGGACTGAGTGATGCAGCATCTGCAGCTAGTGCTGCTGCTGAGAAATTGAAACCACTGAATAATCAGGTCTAAATGAGCTGCAGAAGCAGAAGGCTCATGACAAAGCTCGCCCCACTTCTTGTTCAAACAGCAGAAGTTTGCACTTGTTTGGCTCTTCATTCTTAATTTTATTGATTCAGTCAGGAGCTGAAGTCAGGATTATAAGCATCAAAATAGGATTTTGTTGATTCAGAATGAGTATCAAATAGGGGCATTTTACTTTTGAGTTTTGATGGATTCAGAATAATCCTTTTCCAAGAAAATTTCTTGGTTACAAAACTTACAGCCTTGGATGATTTCTTTTCTGTGATAGAAATTTGAAGATTCTCTTGTGGCAATTGCATTTTAACTGACCTGCAACGTCATTAACAGGGATTTCACAGTTCTTGCCCTGCATTTCTCAATAATGCGTCTGGTTTAGAAGCCATTTTAATCAATTTATGAGTGGTTTTTCTTTTTTATGGTATAACTTCCTTGCTGATAGTCCTTAGCTAATGAATTTAGTGCTGCTAAACCCCCAAAAAAAATGGAGTTTAGTACAAACTATTTAATCTTACACTCGTATCAATCTCCCTGGTATTGAACGTTTGTTTCATCTTCCTTTTCCATGAATATTTACTCTGCCTATTAAGTTAGACAAGAAGTCCGTTGTTAAATACCATTCCAGTGATTCTTCGTCCGTCTATTGATTTCCTTTTTGCCTTTTTGTTAAAAAAATTTTATGTGGAATTCAAGAAATGAAGAGTAGTAAAAGGCAATTTGACCCAAAAATCTCCAAATCCTGAAATTTGAAACTTAACCACTAAATAAAAACTTCTTCAGTCAATTTCCCTTTTGCCTTATTTACTTCATATGCCAATGACTGTGTTACAGCAGCTTACGAATGCATTTTTCATTGTGTTAATGCCCAATCAGGGCCAGAAAAATGCCACTATAAAGTTCATAGCAGTCCAGTTTCCGTTGTATTTGTTTTTTTATTAAAAAGAGATCTCCTCTTTATTAATGAAGGAAAAAGAACTTAGAAATTGTAGTAAATATTTGTTTAACAGAAACACGTAGTAAAAGCTTGACAGATAAATTAGGTACCATGACTGGTTTATTCAACATTAGTTACTAACATGAGAAATGAGAAGTCTCTGAAAACTAATAAAATACAAAAGGAAAATTTGTCAAATTGGTCCCTCATATTTAAAAAAAAAAAAAAACTTTTTTAGTCTCTTACATTTAAAATCGGCCACCATAGTCTTTCAGATATAAAAAAGTCTACTCGATTGGTCCCAAAGCTCATTTTTGCTTACTTTTTCGGCCAAAAAGTACATATCTTTCTAACATGCCTATAATTTCAAGAATAAAAATGAAGACACGCTTCGTTTTCTCTCTTTGTTTGTTGAAAAAAAGAAAAAAAATATAAGCCATCAAGCCTTTTTTTCCCGTCCTCCCTTTTTAGCTATTAAAATCCTAGTTGTAAGCCATCAAACATCCAATCAAAGAAGAAAATTTCAGTATGGTCACTTACAAGTAGTAAAAGAAGAGCAAAAAAAAGACGTCTAAAAAACTCACCCATTGAAAAATACAATGGAAACAAACAATGATCAATCTCATTGTGGCAAAGAACCAATGATTGTGATTTCTTGGAAACCTGCAAATCCGAAAGGGAGATTCTATGGCTGCCAAAACTACGAAGTAAGCTCGAGCATATTTCATTTTGGTTATCTTAGAAAAATTGGTTCTTAATATCGAGTGAAAATTGGTTCTTGATATGTGCTATTATTGCATTTTAGGTAAATCGTGCTTGTCACTATTTCAAGTGGTATGACTCCCCAGTGTGCAATAGATCAGTGTCAATAATACCTAGCTTATTAAAGGCCATCAATCGGTTGGAAGCCGAGCAAGAAAAGATAATTTGAAAAGAAAAAATTACTTTGGGCTACTTTACTTACTTTTTGAACGTGCATTTTGTTGATTGTGTTGAATAAGAATTCAACTTAAGTCCAAAGAAGAAACAAAACATATAACGTAAAAGCAGTGTGAGGTTTGTACCTTCATTGTTGGCACCATTGTCAACATGATATTGAAGAATGAAAAAGTTAAAATCTCTCTTGTTCAATCGAAGTTTATATTTAGGATTTTGATGGCTTATATATTTCTTAAGAGGAAATAAAGTACGTTTTCATTTTTGTCATCAAAATTATAGGCACGTGAGAGAGGCCGTACACCTTTTGGCTGGAGAAGCGAGCGAAAACGAGTTTTAGGACCAATTGGACAAAATTTTTTTTATCTGAGGGACTATTGTGGCTAATTTTAAATATGAGGGATTAAACAAAAATTTTTTTTTTTAAAATGTGAAGGGCTAATTTGGCAGATTTTCCAATAAAAAAATGCAGAATAGTGCATATATATATATATATATATATATTATAGAGGGAGAAATGTGCACTTGGGATGTGGGAACCAAACAATACCTAAAGCTAAATGCCTAAACAGATTATGGCAATTTAATGAAAGCTCACACAGCCCACTAGGCGCCAGTCCAGTCCAGTCCACCACCCAGCAACCCTTCTCTGCCGCGGTTCCGCCTCTTGGTATTCAAAGAACGGCAATATTCCCGCTACCGGAACCCCGCTCACCAACTTATTTGAAACCCTCCATTTGAAAAAAAAGTTTGCACCAAAATTTTATCTTGCTCCACAGATTATTTACTTTGGCAACTCCCATCAATCAATTCTAGCTAATTGAGAAATACCGACCTCCTAAAATTTCTGCAGCTGCCAAACCAGTAAGCTTATTCTTCCACTTTACTTGTATTACGCACACTGATCAAGTTGAAATGCTTTGGTCATTTATTTCTTCTTTATTTTATTTTTTCCAAGAATTTGATTATGCTGCTTGTGGACTTACCGAAAGTCAGTAATAATAAATCATTATCTGGAGATGATATGGCGGTTGAGATATAAATTCTGGAAAGCTTTAGAGCTCAAACCCACTTCATATTTTCTTGTAAAGAGCCAACCTTTGGTTGCGATTCACTATCTTGCTTCACCACTTCAGAGTCCAACAACTGAAAAGCACAAAAAGTTTGAGACTTTTTTGACTAGGGAAGAATTTTATAGCAAGAGTTCTGGAAATATAGTGCTCAATCCTCACATTGTGCAAAAAACTTTGATAGATTGCCGTTCGGATGTAGTTGCTTTAAGCTTTTTCTTGTGGTGTGCTCGCCAGCCAGATTATTTCCATGATAGGGCCGCCTTTTCTCATATGGTGAATGTAGTTTCTCGGCTTATTCAAAGATTCTCCACGCTTGGAGGACTCCTTGAGGAGTTAGCTCATGTTGGTTGTGCGACAAAACCTCAGACTTTGCTGCTTTTGTTGAGAATTTTCTGGTATGGGAAAATGTATGAGCTAGTTTTCGAGGCTTTTGAGGAAATGCTGCGCCATGGTTATACCCCAAATACTTTTGCTCGCAATATCGTTGTGGATGTGCTGTTTAAGATTGGGAAGGTTGGCGCAGCGCTTAAAGTTTTGGAGGAGACTGAGGTACCAAATTTTTTGTCATTTAGTATTGCCGTATGTAATTTGTGCAAGCTCAATGATTTGATTAACATGCGCAATGTGCTTAGGAACATGTTGAGAAATGGTTATTCTCTTAATCCTGAGACTTTTTTGTCTGTGTTGAATTGTTATTGCAAATTGGGTAGACTGGAAGAGGCATTGCAGCTATTAAGTCTTATGATTACTTTGGGTGTTCCTACCTCTGTGAGTGTGTGGACTGTGTTAATTGATGGATTCTGTAAGCCTGGCCAACTTGATGTTGCGAGTTTTTTACTGGACAAAATGGTTCAGAGTGGATGTTCTCCAAACATTGTGACATGCACTTCTTTAATTAAAGGATTTCTAGAAGCTAAGATGCCTAACAAGGCTTTTAAGATCTTAAGTGCCATGGAGTCCAGGGGATGTTATCCTGATTTGTTTCTTTGCAATGTATTAATAGATCATCTATCTAAGATGGGAAGATATGATGAAGCACTTGATTTCTTCTTTAATCTGCAAAAACAAGGATTAATCCCCGATCCTTACACTATATGTTCTATTTTGTCTGCCATCTGTTCTTCCCAGGAGTTTCTTCTTCTACCTTTATTAATCAGTGGACTGGTCATAGAACCTGACTTAGTGATGTGTAACTCCCTTCTAAATTATTTCTGCAAGGCCGGTCACCCAACTGGCGCCATTGAGTTTTACAATGACATGATAGACAGGGGTTTTAAGCCAGATAAATATAGTTATGCTGGATTACTGAGTGGACTTTGCAGATCAGGTAGGATTCATGAGGCAGTTAATGTGTATAATGGTATTGTTCAAGAACATCTTGGCCTTGATTCTCATCTTCATACTATAATCATCGATGGGCTTATAAAAACTGGCAACTTCCACAGTGCAATCAAATTTTTCAGGAAAGCTGCTCTACAGAATTTCCCTCTGGATGTTGTGTCCTATACTGTAGCCATCAATGGACTCCTAAAGGGCGGTCGAGCTGGAGAGGCATATAATTTGTTTTTCCAAATGAAGGACCTTGGTATAACTCCTAATATATACACATATAATCTGGTACTCTCTGGTTTCTGCAAGGATAGAGATGTCAAAATGATTAAAGGAATTCTTCAAGAAATGTCTGATGTGGGGGTGGAGATAGACAACAGTACATTAAATTTGATGAAAAGTTTCCTCTACAAATGGCACTGCTACCGTCCAGTATTTGAGCTTTTTGTGGAGTTGTGGGATTCCGGATTGCTGCCAAAGAAAATGTATGCTTTATTGACTGATGAACTTGGTCATGGTCTTTTAGCTGATGATGCACCTAAAAGTAATCTAGCAAAAGTTCCAGACGCTGGCATTGTAGGCTCAGATGAATTGTGCGGTTTGGCTGCTTCAGTAGGTTGACATAATGCCTGGGAGAGACTTGGCTTTGTAGTTTTCGCTGACGGCGTAACTTCTCCTCCTCAGACAGCTGTGTCATTGTGTCATCCACTACATCTTAGCTCAGACCAGGGTTAAATATTTTATTGAGATCTTGCAGTCTGAGGCTTGCAGCTGCAGGTCTTCTCAGGTTTCAAGTGAATTTCCAAAACTTTCACCACTATAAGCTAAGAGGGAGCTGATAATAGGTAAGATTGCACTTTTCCTGTTTATGCATACGAGGTAGGATTACTTTTGATAATTTGAATTGCTAAGACCTTGTCTGCATGTAGGTAATTTAAAGTCATACATGATTCAGAATCTAATGTGATAAACAAGTTAAAGCATTGTTCTTATGTTCTATTGGCATAACAATTAGGCTCATGATTCTTTATGGATAAGTAGAATGGAGCTGAGTTCACTGGAAGTTTTTCTACTTTGGCTATTAAGGAGCTTCAGTAAAAGTATGTTCATCTATATGATAAACCAGTTCACCCATTAGACTTGCACGAGATTCAGTCTGATCAACTCGGTTCGTCTAAAAGCTTACAATTGTATGTTACTTTGATTTATGTTTATGTTTGGTTTCGACCCCTTGATTTTGACATATTTTTCATTATATTGGTTGCTGCCAACAGGTGCAGAGTAATAAATTTTAAGGTTTCAGCAGAAGCTCTGCGCATTGGCAACAATACTGCAGTTGAACCTTATTGCAAAAATAATGGGAAGAAGACAGAAGATGAACTAATCATTTTACCGTCAATATGTGAATCATTGCGTGTTCAGTAAGTGCATTTACTGCCAAAGTGCTATTTCCTTTGAAGAGACTACACACACTGACTCTCTCTCTCTCTCTCTCTGTTCAGGGGGTTGCGTTATTGTTATTTAGTCCATAGAAGATCAAGAGACGGGCTTGCACAGTTCATGCAATAATCCAGCGTGACATTATTGTATTCCAGTTCTGTTGTATGACAATATGATACATTATTAATTTCTCTGACAGCCCCAAAGCGGCTTGGTTTCAAGATGTAAATACATTATTGACTTCCCAAGCACATGCAGCAGAAGATGGGATGGTCATCTGAAATCCCATACGCAGAATAGTTTGATCAAGTGGAGCATAGTTCGTTCAACTGGATGGTGTCAATCTTGAAATGCGATATTCTGAGCTTGGAACAGAAGATGTATGTTGTTAACTGGTATTCTGTCGAGATTCATGTCATGAGAATTCAGTATGGCGAAAATGATGTTGGTCCATTTATTTGGAATTGGGGGGAAACGCTTTTGTACGGTAAATGTGGTACATATTTTTTTCTTCTGTTTCTTCCCTTACTGTTACTGAGTATGACCTTGCTGGCTTGCTGCTAATTGGCATATTCTACTACTACTAGTATCGAAGTTGACTTAATTTTTGTCCGAGAAAACAATCATTAACGAGCGAGTAACAGTGTCCTAATATTCCTCCAAAGAAAAAGGAATGTATTAATCAAATCAAACACATTTCAACTAAATATTTCTCCATTTAAGCAATGAAAAGAAATTTCTATGCACTGCTACTAGTGTAATCTCCAATTAACGTTACCATTGGCTATTGAAGAAGGGAATGCCCAGAAATAATTTAAATCAAACTACTACTATAAGTCTATAATCAATATCGTATAATTACCAAAAAAAAAAAAAAAGAATAATTACAAAAATAGCAAGAAAAAACGAAAGGAAAAATACAGTCCTCTTGTTTTTCCTATAAAGCATCGTTTGTACCCACCCTTCCCTTTTTACTCCTCTCCTCCTCTTTTTGGCTTGCAGATCCGATCTCAGAAAAGTTCCAATCGTTTCCTTTTCTCCTTTGCCCCAAGAGGAAATAAGAAAATGGCTTCCGCGGCCCCATCGCCCCGTGAGGAGAATGTGTACGTGGCTAAGCTCGCCGAGCAGGCCGAACGCTACGAAGAAATGGTGGAATTCATGGAGAAAGTCTCCGCCTCGGTGGGCGAAGGCGACGAGCTCTCTGTGGAGGAGCGCAACCTCTTGTCGGTGGCCTACAAGAACGTGATCGGAGCCCGCCGAGCGTCCTGGCGGATCATATCGTCGATTGAGCAGAAAGAGGAGTCACGAGGCAATGCCGACCATGTGAACGCTATCAAGGACTATAGGGGGAAGATTGAGAGGGAGCTTTCGTCCATTTGTGATGGCATTTTGAAGCTTCTGGATGCTAAGTTGATTCCGGCAGCTGGCGCTGGTGATTCCAAGGTGTTTTATTTGAAGATGAAGGGGGATTATCATAGGTATTTGGCTGAGTTTAAGACTGGTTCCGAGAGGAAAGAGGCTGCTGAGAATACCCTTAATGCCTACAAGGCTGCCCAGGTATCTTTCGTTGAATGTTATTTGCTGCTTGGTTTTTGTGCTTCTTTTGTTAAAGGTATTCTGTGTTTGACGGGATGTTGATTCAATTTTCATTTATGTGTCCCTTTATTTTGTGGATTGATGAATTTGGTTTCTTGATTGTAAAACGTTCAAATTTTTTATTTTTATTTTTCGTGAATATTCTGATAAAGCATTATATGGGGATTAGTCATCTTTCTGTTTAAGTTATATTTATAGGTGGTTATCCGTGAAGAAGAAAGTTTTTGTTGCGTCAAAGTGGAAATAGATTTTCTGGTCAATTGAGAAGGATGTTTGGATCAATCTTTTATATTATCATGCAAAGGCTGTGACAGAACATGTGCCAGTGTTTTTTTTTTTCTTTCCCTTTTCTGTGTCAGCCGTTGCCGGCGTTTATCATTGTAAATATTTATTTTTGTTTGGAATTTTGGTCTTAGTTTGGCGGTATGTTAGGATTGAGCCTGAAGCAATGACAAGGATATACAGATGCGAGCAAATAGTTGCTCCAATCATGATCCAGCCTCTAATTTTGGAGGGTCAAGTTTGAGTAAACTCGCCATTCTTATATATACTTTTCACTAGGGCTGTCACCATCTAATCTAGTAAGTCATGATCAATAATCTATGTTGGTTTGCTGCTCGGAGTTACAGGTGTTCTAGAGTGCTTTTAATAGCAGTGATCTGCTTTTCTCTGCCTCTACTCTTTTGTTTCTTTTTCTCAGCTTTTAATCGAAAATTCTTTATTGCAGGATATTGCAATTGCTGAGTTGGCTCCTACACATCCAATCCGACTTGGGTTGGCTCTTAACTTCTCCGTGTTCTACTATGAAATTCTGAGTTCGCCAGATCGAGCATGCAATCTTGCAAAACAGGTGACAGTTGTGTGATTAGATATTTGCTATTTCAATTTAATTGTGGTTATTGTGTGTTGAGCATCTAACAAAGAGCCATCTTTTGGCACCGAATTTACCTTTTCTTTGGGATCATGAGAGGCGTCTTTTCATTGAATTTCACGGAAATGCAGTACATTTTTAGTCTTTTGCAGCACATAGTTTACATTAGTCATATAGCTACAGAGAAACTATGGACTTATTGATTGCTTGTAATTGGGTGCATGCCTGAAGTACAACCGAGCTGGTAGTCTGTTAGAATGCTTCTCTCTTAAAATTTTGATGAACTCATTTGTCTTTGGTGGCATAATGTATGTAATTTTCTTGAATCTCTTGTTCAACAGGCATTTGATGAAGCCATTGCAGAGTTGGACACCCTGGGAGAGGATTCATACAAGGATAGTACTCTCATTATGCAACTTCTCCGCGACAACCTGACCTTGTGGACATCAGACATGCAGGTAATGCTGCTTCCTCTCTTTCCCCGGCAGTTGTTTGATGTCCTTCGATGTCCATCTCTTGCATTGATTTCAGAAATGTCCTAAATTTCCGTTTTCTTTTGATGACGCCTGCATTTTTTCACGTCACTAGGATGATGGAGCAGAGGAGATCAAAGAGACATCAAAGCGTGAAGATGAGCAGCAGTGAAATGAGTGATTAAAATTTATTTGTTGTGGTTGAAGTAATTTTTTCTGAATGTTTTCTTCACGAGACATCCAGCCATTAATCTTTTAGAGGCACGAGTGAAAATTCTTCTTGAAATGCTCAATATCTTCACTCATCATGAATTGTGATATCGATTAGATATATGAATTTCAAATGCCTTTGCATCGTAAGCAAAAGGCTTTCTAGCCATTGTTGCCCAGAAGCCTCTATCTGCCCTTACAGGTCCTTCTGAACAAAATCCTTTCGTCATGGATGTTTGCATACCGCGCAATTGGCAGCATGATATGTCCTCCCCTCGAATGCCAGTTGTGGCGTGGCGTTTCTTTCGCCCAATGCCTGGCAATAATAATCAGTTCCTTTTGTATGAATAGACCGTGATTAAGGCGGGCGGCATTAGCGAGCGAATTATATCGCGCTTGATTCGATCCCAGATCATCATTAAATCAGATGATTGACGTTTCTCGTCTGTATTAGAAAATTCAAGTATAAAAATCTCAACATGCATGCGCAATCTAATATGCAATGTTGCCAATGAACACTAGTGTCTTGAGACGGTGGCAAACTTACCAAAGTCGCTAAGCGGAGCCAAAACCCACGTCATGATTCATGCATGCCCCAGATCATTTTTTCTTATGGTAACACGTACGTAGGGTGCCGTCGAGCCGAGATGCGCTCAAACTCAAAGGGTATAAGGTGCTATTCAAGTTCAAGCTCGAATGACTCAAGGAGCTGATGCTTGAGCTTGACTGAGAAAGTTGCAGAAATAATTGAGTTTAACTCGATAATGTTATCAAATAATGTCGAGTCTTATCAAACTCGAAAACTCAACTCAAACTCGAATATTAAGATCGAACAATGCCGAACTTGTATTAGTAATTTTGTGTGTGTGTAAATTATGATATTTAATATTTATTTTTTAATCATTTAATGCAATGCTCGATAGAGTTCGTCGAACGTGCGATTCTTGAACTCATTCAATAATACTTTCAAGTAGTCCAAATTCGATCAAAATGAATTCCAGTTGAGCTGTTAATCGAGTAGCTCGCGAGTTCAAGTTGAGCTACTCGCAAGCTACTTGGTTCATATCACCTTGAGTAATATGATAGTCAATTTGAGATTAATTGAATTACTATGTCAATTAGTATATAACCATTCATGTATGATAACTATTCTTACACAAACCCAACAGCGTATAACATCATTAGTATATAAAATATTAATCCAATAAAAACGAGTATACAAAACTGATAAATATGTCAATCATTCACATTCTTATAGTTTTCCATAATACATCATGCAGAACAATATTTGACGTGAAAGTCTAAATTTCATGATATTATTGGATGGGAGTGTTTTTCAAATACAATAAAAATTTTTAAAAAAGGTACTATAAAAGATAATCTAAAAATTAGTTTAAATTTTTAAAAAAAAATATCTCAAAATATATTCTAGAAACTCTTTTACTCTTAAATATCCCAAAATATAACCTAAAAATTCTGCTACAACAAAATTTTTCAAAAACACCTCCAAAAACAGTTAATCCAAACGGAGCGTATGTTTTTTACTTTTTCAAATTTTCTGGAATTAATTCAGCACCCATCCACGAATTGCATGTTTTTTCCTTCAAACATTTAGGGTATTGCAGGTAAGTAGTGAGTATCATTTAGTAATTTTAAGGCAGCAATAAAGTGTGTGTAAAATTTTCTTGAAGGTCGAGTAATTTACTAGCTAATCTTATGATAGCCAATATATAAGTGGGAAAAAAAAAAGAAATATAATTGCTGTATCAGAAAGATTAAAAAAAAATAAAAGAAAGAGAGAGGGAGAGAGAAGAGAGAAGTAAGAGAGTGCATGCATTAGGTTGCATGACGGGCTCTTTTTCAAGTCTTTGATTTGATTAGTAGTTGTCGTAGACTCGTAGTGGTATTAGTTTCCACATTTCCCCATTTCCTATGCATTGATTAGTTAGCCTTTCTTTCTTGACGTTAAATCAATCAGCCAAGCCCCAATTTTCCCTCCTTCCCACCTTAATTACGATTAATTACTTTGAACGAATGAATCCAGAACGCAAATGGGCCTACCTAACTAACTAACTGACTTGCTCTACCTGACTTAAACGATAATTCGGTTGAGCGATCAATCCGATCATCATCGTCGTCGTCGTCGTCTAAAATGTGGGTGTTTTACTTGATATCTCTGCCCTTGACCATGGGCATGGTGGCCTTCACTCTCCATTACTTCGCCGGCCCCGATGTTCCTCGCTACGTTCGCTTCACCGTTGGCTACGCCTGGTTTTGTTCGCTCTCCATCATCATCCTCGTCCCCGCCGACATCTGGGCGGTACGTCATTCCTTCTCTTTCTTCTGCGCCACCCCTTTTCCTTAGCAGGGCTATTACTTCTTCTTCTTTTGTGTTTAATATAATTCATCGTCTTTTCCTGTTCTCTTTCC